AAGACTTGAGACATAATCCTCCTTTGGTGTTAAGCCCCAGCATCTGGTATTGGGGAATGGAATCCCTTTGATAATGAAAGCCGTGTTTTTTTTGGTGTTGTTGCTATGAGATGTGGATGGAGCTGTTCCCCTGTGTGCCAATTTATCCTCTTCAAGTATCTTTGCTAGGGAGCCACAGACCTCTGTGGCAACGATTTCCATATGCTGACTTCTTCCTGGATATGCATACAAGTTTAGATCTGCTAAGAAAACAAGGGTTTTTATTAATTTCCTCCCAGATTTTTTCTAAAATAAATATGGAAGGGGTATCCCTCCCCCAAATATATTTTTAAAAGCTCTGCCGGTGTTCCTTCGCTAGTCTTGACCGAGGCATGTTTACTTGCTTCTGTGTCACTGGCTCACTTTTTGTCTCCTATTTATGCCATTTCAGGTTTTGGAAAGAACCGTTTAGGACGCAGAAAACGGGTGGCTGGAAAGAGGCCTCCCTATGGAGTCAAAACCGGGCTAGCGGCAAGGAAAGCCTTGGGCTCTCACAAAGGCATCAGCCCCCTCAACAGATCGCCTCTCAGTGAAAAGGTATGTGTGCGGGCTTTGAGGCAAAAACGTACCCATCTTTTTTCTGGGCAGCAGTGTAAGAATGCCTCCGCCTTGAGATGGGATCTGGTGGAGTTCCTCCCCTCTCAGCACCCCTTTTCCGAGAGTGCAAGGCTTCATCCATGAATGGAGGCAGCTGCATTGGGTCCCATTCCATGTATTCCGCTCTCTTTCTATGGGCAGAGGTGCTCTCACCTCCAGTAACACTCTGAGGCAAGTGACTACTCTTTCCAACTGAAAGTGTGTGGTTTACACCAAACTATGATGGGGTTTTTTCTGAGCCAAAGGAAATCCAGAGGGGCAAAAGTGAGAGCCAGTTTCCTTTCCTGGAGGGGGGGGGATCTTTGCATTGGGTGGTCCACTTGCTCTGCTGGCAGTAAATTGCAGTTGGGAAGGGGCCGTCCGAGTGGGACAACTTCTCCCCAGATTCACTTCCTGATTAGACTGCAGGAAAACCAGAGGGGTTCCCAGCCACACGTGGCACTGTAGGGGACCCCGAGGTGGCTTAAAACAATCATATGCCAAACAGCAAAACTAATAATATTAAAAATCCAATAGAAAGAAGGAACAAATGAAAAATGCAAAGCAAAAGCAGGACACCCCCCCCAAAAAAATAAAACAACCCAGGCCGTTGTGTGGTCAGAAAGGCCCTGTGTTGTGTCCCCACTAATTTCACCTCTGGTGGGCTAGAGTTTTTCTGACCCTTGCCCTGGCAGGTGGAGTTGGGGAGGCAGGACATTTCTGTGTTCTCTAGTTGTAGGCAACCAATGAGTAATATGGCAAGCGTGAATAGATGGGCTAGAAAAAGCAATATTGTGTCTAGCAATTCTTTCGGACTAACTTACAAGGGTGACTTAAGCATGACTTTCACTTTCCTCGGCTTTTGTGAGCTGTTGGAGAATCGTTCACATAGTATGTGTCACGCGACACTTTTATTTTTGGACTTTGACCATCCTGTCCCGCACTTGTTATGAAGTTTACAAATAGTAAAAAGTTGCAGCCAAACCAACATGCCTGGCAGCAGATAAGTAGCAGATGATCTGCAGATTGAGATGCTAAAGCAGCTCTGCTGGCCAGAAGCAGATTTTCGAAAGGCAGACGAAACAAACTTCCATACTTCACCCCAGTATGGAGAAAGCAGCACATTGGGTGGCTAAACGTAAAGGCACAAAAAATGCATTTGGCTGTACTTCACCCATCCAAAACAGAAGAGACTTTCTGTGAAGTCCTATATCCAGATGCTCATTCGTTATCTATGCAAGGTGCCTTGCTCAAAATAACGAGGTTTCAGTGGCCCAGATGGAGAGCCAAGATGCAACTGGAGAAAACTTCTAGCAGGCCTTATGAAATGTGTATACACACATGAAGGGCCATAGGTGGGGCGTGCACAGTTCAGGCGCCACCACAGAGAAGCCTCTTTCTCTGGCCCCAATCTGCTTAACATCCACCATACTTGGGACACAGAGAAAGACCCTCTCCTCAGATACTGGGGCAGGGGTAGGCTGCAGGGGAGAAGGTGGCATTTTTACGCTAACTTTATTGCTCCTGTTTTAAGTTACCCCTCATTCAGCTGCTCTGTTTGGATATTGCAGGGTTTTTAAATTTAATTGTGTTTGCGTTGTGAGCCATCTCAAAGAAAGGTAGGGTATAAATATATTAATGAAGCAGAGAACCTGGTACCTTTCAGATGCTGGATTGACAGCTCCCCACCAGCCCCAGCCAGCATGGCAAATGGAGTTTGGAACAATCCATAGTGCATCAGGTGGAAGAGACAGTTTTTGGATGAGAGTTAGCATTTGTCCATAATCCGAGTAGACCCGTTGCAGTCAGTGAACGTAATGGCCCTACCCTATTTGGATATCACAGAGAGGCTGCAATCCTAATCCTGCACACCTGGGAGGAAGCACCATTAATTTCTACAGTGCTTGCTTCTGAGTGGACATGATTAGGATTGTGCTATTAGTTAAGCAGCTTCTGAACGTCTTGGGTTTTTGCTGCAACAGACTAACACTGCTGGAAATGTGTGGACCTAATTTTTTAACATATCTCTTCCTGAAGAACATTACAGCGGGACTACTCGGTTTTGAAAAGGAAGACCGCCATCCAAAGACAATCTGAGTTGCAGAGAAAGCAAGGATCCATTCTCAGGAGGCCTACTCTGTTAAACAGAAGGTAAGAGCCATATGCCGTTTGCAAAGGTCTTGTGGTCTGCTCTGCATGTGCCTTGAGTGCTTTGCCTGCCTTTGCCTCGAACTCTGACCGTGCTGCTTCCTTGCCTAGAAAAATGGAGGATGTGGGGAAATGAGCATTGCTTGCTCCATCTGCTTTTGTTCCTGATCCTCCACTGCTGGCATTTAGCCCTTGGAAGGTTTCCTGGAACATAACGCGTCCCATCCCTGCTTTAGATTGTGATCTCCTCGGGGCACAGCACTTGCCTGTCCTGGTTGCGTCATCCTGTCACATCGATGGTGCTGACGATTCTTTGTGGATGTTTTACAGAACCAACATACAGTCTCCTTCTGCCCGGATCGGGAATAAGCTCTACCAGCAGAAAGACGCACGCCAAGCCACTTTCCTTTTTAAGAGGGGCCTGAAGGTACTGTAGGAAGCAGAGCGAGAGTACTGTTCTCTTCCCCTGCACCTCTCTGTTTGACATAATCTGACCATCTGGATAGAGTTTGAAAAAAACTTGGCTAAAGTTTTGTGTTTTATATATAGCCATGTTCTCCTTCAGATGCTACTTTTCATTAGATCTTAAGGTTTTGGTCATTGGCAGTAAAAGAGTTGTGTACATGCCTGTGTGCTATTTGTCATGACTGAGCCTTCCGACGGCTGTATTAAAAAACATTGGTGCAGGAAAAACTCGCCATGGCGCTAGTTTGATAGAGAGCAGAAGGCCTGTTCTCACTGAATCAGGCATCCAGGTCTGATAATGCAGACATACTTCTCCCCAGAGATCGTGACTTGATTTCTATGCTTGTGTGAAGCCAGGCTAGGAAATGCCTCTATAGAAGCCTGCGTAATTTATAAGCCTGCAGACCTCACTTTGTGGTTTCCCCAGCAGCCACTGTTGTTCTGACCGAGGAAAGCTGTCTCCCAACATCACAGTGGTGTGTTTATTGAAGAAATCCATCCCAGAGCCTTCTTCAGCCTAAAGGCGTGATGGAATGCCAGAGATACAGTACCAGGACCAAATTTTCACACTCTTTGTGGATGGAAACTTGGAGAGTGCAGGGCGTGCATAGACACAGCTCGCAGTTTAACAAAAGTTCTGAGCCCAAAAAAGGAGTACAAATTGGAGTTTCTACAGTCAGCGAAAGACTCGGAGTTCTCTGGAACGCCAGATAAGTTTGCAACAGGAGTGGCTGTTGAAGGGAGCACAAGTGGCTCTCAGCCTGCCCGCTTGGAACAAAGCTGGAGAATTATAAAGTGAGGCAGGGGTCACATGCAGGGGAACGTGAGTGGTTTGAAGAAGCAGTTCAGGCAGAGAGAACAAAGACGGGGAGGCTCAAAACAGTTTTGGGGCGGGAGAAGGCATCTTAGGCAGTGAGTTACCAGGCACACAGCTTAGCTACATATAGGTAAAGGTAAAGGACCCCTGATGACTAGGTCCAGTCGTGACCGACTCTGGGGTTGCGGCGCTCATCTCGCTTTACTGGCCGAGGGAGCCAGCGTACAGCTTCTGGGTCATGTGGCCAGCATGACTAAGCCGCTTCTGGCAAACCAGAGCAGCGCATGGAAATGCCGTTTACCTTCCCGCCGGAGTGGTACCTATTTATCTACTTGCACTTTGACATGCTTTTGAACTGCTAGGTGGGCAGGAGCAGGGGACCGAGCAACGGGAGCTCACCCCATCGCGGGGATTCGAACCGCCGACCTTCTGATCGGCAAGTCCTAGGCTCTGTGGTTTAACCCACAGTGCCACCCGCGTCCCCATGCTACATATACATGGCTGGAAAGAGCAAGAGGCAGGGATGAAGCCAGTCCTGCTGGCTTGCAGAAGGTGGGACCCACAGTGGCTGATGCTGGCCAGTTGGGCATGTTGATTTTTTCCAGCTTTCAAATTCCAAAACTGAGGGGTGCTAAAAAGTTGTAACATGACTTGGAAATTCAAAAAATATTTTGGTTAAATCAGTATATAGTCTTATGTGGTAAGTAAAATGTGTGTGATATTGCATAAAAATAAATTAAAATGATTGCCAAGTACTTGCAGTTAAATTATGCAGTAGTAGTAGTATTTAAGCATTATCTGATATTTTCAGAAGGTAAATTTAAATTTATTTGGGGTTTTTTTCAAGAGCAGTTTTATGTACTTTTTAATCAAACAAGGATTTTACCAAGCTAAATGTTGTCCAGTCACAAAAATAATAGCAAATTTGAGTTCCTTGCAACCAAAAACGTATTTTTAAGATCACTCACTGAAGAAATTAGCAAAAATTAAGTTTTCACCCCCTAAAATGACATGTCCTACTTGCCAGGTTTGGGGGCAGAGTGTGGACAGCACTTGAAGATGCAGCACTTCAGAATGGGATGGAGTGCGGGGAGGGGAATCTCCCACCAGTCGACTGACTTTGGGGTCCACTAAACCTCTTTAATGTTCGTTCTGTATCTGTATGTTTTGTGTGTCGTTTTATTTTGAAATCTTTATATTACATTTTTTGCTATTTGTATTCAAAATGGCTAACAATTTGGTTAAATCCTAATAATAATAATAATAATAATAATAATAATAATAATAATAATAATTTATTTATACCCCACCCTTCTTGGTTCAAAAACCAGGCTCAGGGCGGGCTAACAACAAATTTAAAACAATTATAAAAGTAGTATAAAATGCGGTATAAAAACAAGAATAACAATAAAATTCAAAATCACAAAAAAAGAGACGTAAACCCGTCATGTCACAGTGCCAACAAGCTTCGTAAATGCCTGTTTGTCATGCAAATCCTTCATGAATCTCTGTAGAAACACTCACACCCAGAAACCCCAACTCTGTTGGAATGTGTTGGTCAGATTCCAGTGACCTAGACTAAGTCTATAGTTGTCTCGCTGAATAACTCTTCCCTCCCCACCAAAAAGACATCTTCAGCTTTCTCATTTTCTCTACCGGTATTTTCTTTCCCCTCCGGCAGGTGCAGGCCCAAGTCCATCCAGAAGATGACCTAAGCGCCCAGGTCACAAACAGAAGTCGCCCGTAAGTGTTCCGATTTTATTTGGCAGAGCAGTTGTGGAGGCAGTAATGCATGTGTGTTGAGACTGTGGCTCCCCCCTTTTTTTTTTGCAACCAAATATTCATGGGGCGTATTGAGGGCGCTGGATGTCTGATTTGGGAGGTGGCCTTGGGGTGTTCCTGAGCTGGGAGGCAGGAGCAGTGGCCTGCTGCAGTGGTGGCAGGGAGCTTCAGAAAGGGTGGGCTTCCAGTGTAAACCAGGGATGGTCTCATATTCTGAACACACTGTCATAATATGGTATGTCACCAGTTCTGAAAATGAAACTGTTGTATGCCTGCCACTTGCTTGGGAAGGTTTTGTAGATATCCTCCGTACACTTTTACTTGGGAGCAGGCCCCATTGAATTTCTGAAGCATGCATAGGACCAGACAGTGTGCTACTCATCCCCAAATGTTGCATGAACACCCTCTAAACGGCTGTGGAGAGCTTTGCAGGTTGGGACCGGGCTGCTGGCAGTGAGAAACAGAGCGTTTGTAGGGAGGAAAGTTGGTTGGTTAGGAATTGTAGAAAGCAGAGGTCTTGAATGCCCTGGTTTCTTCTCTGACTGCTCTCGGATCTGTAGCATATGTGCTGTAAGCAGCCCAGAGTAGCTGGGAAGACCCCGCCAGATGGGTGGGGAATAAGAATAAGAAGTGTTTAATGGGCAGTGTTTTGCTCAGTAACTGGTATGTCTCTGTTAACTAGATGCCTCATACCCAGCCTTGCGGAGGAATTTTAAGAAACAAAAAAATCAGTGCCATTTTGAAATCAGTAGTTTCATTGTGCTTTGTGGTATACAAGTGAGCAGGTCCCTGCCCCTAGGAGCTTACAATCTATCACTTGCCACAGGGACAGGCAACAGAAGAAGAAGGGGAAGGAAGCAAGAGGCAGTTGTCAGGAGGTAGAGAATGTGGAAGGGGTTGTATCAAACAGTGTTTCTTCTAGTGGCAGAAGAAGAAAAGGGAGGGAAGTAATTTCAGTGATGCGCCATCTGGTCTGGAAGATCCCCCAAACCCGTAGAGCAGATTTATGGGGGGGTGGGAGGCTGCAAGCGTTAAGAGGAAATCCCAAGAAAATTGCTTCCTGCCCCATTCTGGTGTTGAAGCCTTATCATAAGCTGAGCAATGCCACCAAACTCAGCCTGAAGGTTTCTGAACTCCTGCTGATCTTGACTACCAACCAGCCTCTTTCGCTCAAATGGTGGTAGCTTAAAATTGCAGTCTAATTTGCTTTCTTATAAAACAGGGGACTTTTTGCTGTGGCTACTTCTGCATTCTGGATGAAGCTACCTTCCTTATTGGACTTGTTTGCTAAGAGGAAACAGGAGCTGCTTCCAGAAAAAGGAGAGTCCCCGAGTGCTCTGGAGCATGTGCACATGCGTGTGTTTAGGGACAGCGGCCTCCCACACAGGAACAGACTGTGCAGAACTGCAACCTTTTTGAAAGAAGCGTAAGAGCTTGCTGGACCAGGCCAGTGGCCCATCTAGTCCAGCTTCCTGTTCTCACAGTGGCCAAGCAGATGTCCCAATGGGAAGCCTGCAAGTGGGATCTGAGTACACACCCCGGCTTGTGATTCACAGCAGCTGGCATTCAGACACAGGGGGCCTCCATCAGAGAAGGGAGAACATAGTCATCATGGCTAGCCGCCATCAGCAGCCTTAACTCATTGAATTTGCCAATAATAATAATAATAATAATAATGATAATAATAATAATAATTATTATTATTATTATTTATTATTTGTACCCCGCCCATCTGGCTGGGTTTCCCCAGCCACTCTGGGCGGCTTCCACAAAGACCAAAAATACACTAATATGTCATACATTAAAAACTCCCCTGAACAGGGCTGCCTTAAGATGTCTTCTTAATGTCAGGTAGTTGTTTATCTCTTTGACATCTGATGGGAGGACGTTCCACAGGGCAGGCGCCACTACCGAGAAGGCCCTCTGCCTGGTTCCCTGTGGCTTTGCTTCTCACAATGAGGGAACCGCCAGAAGGCCCTCGGCGCTGGACCTCAGCGTCCGACGCTCCTTCAGGTATACTGGGCCTTTGAGGCCCTTTAGGGCTTTAAAGGTCAACACCAACACTTTGAATTGTCAAAACAAAAAAAATTCCTTCCAGTAGCACCTTAAAGACCAACTAAGTTAGTTCTTGGTATGAGCTTTCGTGTGCATGCACACTTCTTTCAGATACATCTGAAGAATGTATCTGAAGAAGTGTGCATGCACACGAAAGCTCATACCAAGAACTAACTTAGTTGGTCTTTAAGGTGCTACTGGAAGGAATTTTTTTTGTTTTGACTATGGCAGACCAACACGGCTACCTATCTGTAACTGGAACTTTGAATTGTGCTTGGAAACATACTGCGAGCAAATGTAGGTCTTTCAAGACCGGTGTTATGTGGTCTCGGCGGCCGCTCCCAGTCACCAGTCTAGCTGCCACATTCTGGATTAGTTGTAGTTTCCAGGTCACCTTCAAAGGTAGCCCCACGTAGAGCGCATTGCAGTAATCCAAGCGGGAGATAACTAGATCTAATCCTTTTAAAAAGCCATTCTTTTGAAAATCACTCTGCTTTTAGAAACTGGTGTCCTAGCACTGGTGGTCTGGCTGTTGGGTAAGGAAAGCCCTACATGCTAGGCCAGCTGTTGTCAAATGTTGTCTCGAGGAGCAGCCTCGAGCAAAGGGCAAATTGCTGGTACAGCTTCAGGCAAACTGCTGAGCTCCTGAAAAGGGTGCCCGCATCGGAGCCCAGGGTGGATTGGTTAAGGCAGCCAGGAATGCAAGTAGCATTGGTTAAGCATTTATTGCCTTTATTGCCTTAACCAATAAAAAATGGCTGTTGCTTGTCTAACTCTGACGTTTTGCACTATCAGTGAATTTATCTAAAGTGGGAATTTGAAGCAAACTGCCTGTACAGCTGGTCTTTTCAGAACACCCTTTAGCTCAGTGCTTGGGAACCTTTGGCCCTCCAGGTGTTGCTGAACTACAACTCCCATCGTGCCCTGCTCATTGGCCATGCTGGTTGGGGCTGATGGGAGTCCAGCAACATTGGAGGGCCACAGATTTCCTCATCCTGCTTTACCTGGGATCATAAAGTTTACGTTATGACCCAGAGTTAAAACATCAGCTAGTGAGAAATCAGTGCTTATATAGCTTATGGAAACTGTTTCGAATGATTTTTGACCATTTTCCACATTAGGACTAGCCAGGTACAAGTTTAAAACGAGTTGTTCCTCCAAGCCTTTGGGTCTTTAAAATTGATGCTGATTCTGGAGATTATTATTTTATGGCTCCGCTTTGTGCTTATAGTATGTGTATATTCAATTTTGTGGTGCGTAGTTTACGTTATGAGACACGCTGTGTTCCTGTGTTGGATGAAAGGCAGGATAGAGAAACTATGTGATATTAGCAGAGGATTTACTGGGTCAACTGGGTCTTGTGCTTTCCCAAACAGATGGCGAACATCCACTACAAATGGAGGGATTTTGACAGTATCCATTGACAATCCTGGCGCAGTCCCATCCCCCATGTGAGTAAAAGCAGCTTCATCTTGCGCTGGAATCTCCAGGCTGATGGGAATAGTGGTGGGAGCTAAGGAAAAGTACGTGGCTGGTGAGAAACTGTGTTCATCACCCAGGTCCAGCCTTGCAACTGTAGCCTTATGTTAATCCACCCCCTTGCTTGTTGTGTTATTAGCTTGGAAGTACAGTGGTACCTCGCAAGACGAAAAACTCGCTAGACGAAAAGGTTTTTGGTTTTTTGAGCTGCTTCGCAAGACGATTTTCCCTATGGGCTTGCTTCGCAAGACGGAAACGTCTTGCAAGTTTGTTTCCTTTTTCTTAACACCGTTAATACAGTTGCGACTTGACTTCGAGGAGCAACTCATAGAGTGGTAGCCTTTTTTGAGGTTTTTAAAGACTTTGGTGATTTTTGAAGCTTTTCCAAAACTTTCCCGACACCGTGCTTCGCAAGACGAAAAAAATCACAAGACGAAAAAAATCGCGGAACGAATTAATTTCATCTTGCGAGGCACCACTGTAATAGGTAGTGTTTGTCTCCTCCGCTTTTACAGTTTGGTGAAAATCGATATTTCCGTTGACTGTGTTCAGTGTGCCCTGTGTTTTTTCCATAGCTCCTTTGAAGCCAAGGCTGACCAGCACTCCCGTGCCTCCCTTCCTCTTGAAGAAGGACCAGTCGGAAGAAAAGAAGATTCCCAAAGGGGTCCCGCTGCAGTTTGATATCAACAGTGTCGGAAAGCAGGTTGGTTGCTTCCAGATAAAATGGATGTGCGTTGTTGACAATAAAACGGGCTCCATGGGTTCTTTATTGGACTTTAGATCTTGTCGTAGAATTGCGGAGCAGCCGAGGTCCTGTCTTGGACTGGCTGGATGCAGAGGACTCGTGGGAGGCACCACCCATGGAGCTGGATTGGAGTAAAAAACACTGTTCACTCACTTGGGAGCCCCTGGTTGGAGAGAGGCTGAACAAACTGCCAGTCAGGCTCTGCGGGGTCAAGAGGAGGAGACTATGGGGCCTGTTTGGTTCTTCCAGATAGTGACCCAAGGCATAGGAATGCAGTGTCGTCTCTACTGCCTCCTGGGTTCCTCTTTGCACTTTCTTGCAAGCAGTGTGAGAAACTGGGATGGAAGAGGTAGGAGCCAAATGGCTTCTAGGACCTGGGTTGTGGGCACGAAAGCAGAACATCTAGTCACTACTGGGGGGTGGGGGCGTTGGCAACACTTTTTAATAATTTGATAAGCATGAACGAATACGTATGCAGTTCACATAAGCGATACATTGTTAATATCACATTTTTAGCAGAAATGGTTAATACATGTTTAGTTTAATAATAATAATAATTTTTTATTTATACCCCGCCCTCCCCAGCCAAGGCCGGGCTCAGAGCGGCTTACAAGCAATAATAAAAACAAGAAGAATGATTACAACTTAAAAACAAAAATAAAATGCAACATTAAAATAATGGAACATTAAAATATTAAAATGTAGCCTCATTGCAGGAGGAGAAGGAAAAGAAAAAAGAAAGAGAGGGAGGAAGGAAGGGAATCAAATTGGCTCCAAGCCAAAGGCCAGGCGGAACAACTCTGTCTTACAAGCCCTGCGGAAAGAAATCAGATCCTGCAGGGCCCTGGTCTCATGAGGCACAGCGTTCCACCAGGCCGGGGCCAGAGTTGAAAAGGGCCTGGCTCTGGTTGAAGCCAATCTAACTTCCTTAGGGCCTGGGACCACTAGGGTGCTGTTATTCATGGAGTTTATTTATTTATTTATGTTATTTATTTAGTGTTTACTATAAAAACATTGGTACCATACTTCAGTTTTCAAAACACTCTACAGTCATACCTTGGGTTACAGACGCTTCAGGTTGCCATTTTTCGGGTTACGGACCTGCCGAAACCCGAAAGTACCAGAACAGGTTACTTCCGGATTTTAGCAGTCGCGCATACACAGAAGTGCTAAATTGCGCATGCGCAGAAGCGCCGAATCGCAACCCGTATGTGCGCAGACATGCTGCTGCGGGTTGCGAACGTGCATCCTGCACAGATCATGTTCGCAACCGGAGCGTCCACTGTACTCTTTAATGTTAAACTTCTTAACATATTGTCTATCCTTAACATAAACTTCGAGGCTTCAAAGCACATACATTTCAGTAATCCTTGAGTGTCAGCCAGGCGCAAAAAACGGCACCCAGACTTTTGGAGGTGCTCGCAAATGGAGAATCTTTAGGTGCAAAATGCTCCTGCTAATTTCGAACCCTGCTTACGAGTGCTCCGAACACCTTTAGACTCTCCACACAATTAGAAGACTACTCTTTAATTTTTGTTTTCTCACCTAACCCACCAACCCGTATCTTATCCAAGGTCCCCCACTGTAGTTGAAGCTTAGCCACGTGTGTTAAATGTGCTAGGGAAACTGGTTGAAATATTAACCAGGCACCGTAATTTTGGCCTGCTTGATGGGTGGCTGCTGTACTGATTTACGTCCTCCTTTGTTCACAGACAAACATGACCCTCAACGAGCGCTTTGGGATCCTGAAGGAGCAGAGAACGGCTCTCTCCCAGAACAAAGGCAGCCGTTTCGTGACTGTGGGCTAGAGGGCCTGTTCAGTGGAACCCTATCTTTCTAAGGAACTGAACTAGCAGTGGGCCGAAGAATAAGTTGGACTTTGTGTCAAGATACTGATAAACTGAATTTGTTTTTAGACGGCTTCTACTCTGAATAGTTAAAAAGAGAACACCCTCACATGATAGTGGACCATAAAAAGAGAAAATTCAGTGTTGCTTGGAAAACAGCGTCCTGTTGTTTGGACTGCAAGGGTCCACATAAGCTCCTGGACGAGGGGAGGGGGGCAAAGCCAGTTGTTCTTATTTTGGTTTCTTAAGCAGCCGACAGAGGTGGTGATTAATGCAGGGGTCAGTCTTTGCTCCACCTGCTCTTGCAAAGCTGTGTCTTTTCATTTTGTGCCCCTAGCTGCTGAAATTTGCTTAAAACGTTTGCAGCGGACAGCACTTGGCTGCTGCTGCTGCTGCTCGTCTTTCCGTTCGGCTCACAGATCTTTCTTTCACTCAAGCTCTGCAGTTCATCTGGCACTAGAAGCTAAATTGTTTGGCATCCAGGGCAGCAAGTAAGAATCCAGCTTTTCTTGGCGATGAAAAGGCGTAGCGGTCATTCTCGTCCCCTTAAGTGATAGAACAAGGCCTCCCATGAGGCCACAGCAAGAACCTGGTCCACATCCTCGAGAAAAGACCATACAGGGTGCATACAAGCTATTTCCCCCCTCTCTATTTTTTTAAAGCTGTGAGTTTGCTTCAGATATTCATCAGCTGAAATGATGCTTTGATGACCAATGTTACCGGATCAGTCATTTTGGTTGTCGCTCTGTTGTGTTGTACAAATGTGGCACTTTTGTGACTCGTATACCTAGTGGCAGACCCACCAGGTGAGCATTGTGAGGTTCAAGGCACCTTCCTGTTGCTTCAAGGGATCAAAAGTGGTGGTGTCGCCATTCAAACACACACACACACACACACACACACACACACACAAACTTCATGTGCGCTGGATTTTGATTTCAACATAATGGCCTACTTCCTGGATTTAAAATGTCCATAGTGGGTGTGTTGGGAGGCACACCTAGGTAAAAGGATGCCAGGTTTGCTCAGTCTCAGAAACCTGATATATGTAACTTGATCTTTGTTTTTCTTTGACATTTCTTTTAAAAAATAGTTGATTGTGGAGATCAAAACAAATATTTGGCAGTAGCAAGGCTGCCTTTAGAGCAGTTTTTATGTAGTCATGCCTCCATGACAATTTAATGTTCATCATCTTCTGTTTTTAATTATTTGAAATACCTTCTATACCTTTGCAATGGGAAAAAAATGGAATATTAAAGTTCCTTCTTTTGTGTTGTTGTTTTTTACTCGGTTAGTAGGAATTCTGTTGAAGTCCATTAAAATGAAGTAGATAAATATGCTTATGATCATCCTGTGTTTGGTTTCTACCAGGATGTACTTAAAAAAAACAACCTTTTGCATCAACATGGATGCAAAACATTGATGCAATGCATCTCAAGAGAGCTAGTTTGTATTTAAGGAGAATATGCTTTAAACTCTACCTTTGGGTATTTTTTTTTTTTTTTTGAGAAGTTAATACATTTGGATCTATTCTAAAGCTGTTGGACTTTTTAAAAATAAAAGTGTTACAAGTTTGCATTTGTGTGTACTTAGATATGAATTTTGCAGCTCCATATTCTTCAACAAAGGCCAACTTAGTACTTAAATCAGGAATACATGTTTAACGCTCCACTCTTCACAATGATCTTAACTCGTGATCTGTGCCAGAAAAATGCAAATAATGTTGTTCTAATGACTGGTATACCATAAGCATTACTGCTTTCAACTGTCCCCTTATTCTCATAGTGACTGATAAAATTCATGGCACTACCAATGACACCTTTGGGATTTTAACATAAAGCTGAGACCTTAAGATCAAGGAAAGCCCTGCTGGGTTAGGCCAACAGCCCATCTAGCCCCACATCCTGTATGTACTCACAGTGGCCAAACCAGATGCCTGAGTGGGGAGACTGGGACCATATCACGCTAGTGAATTTGACCAATGGGGCGTGTTCTCTGTCTCTCTCCATCCCTCCATATCCTACCCCCTGTGGGGTTGGTGTATCCAAATCCCACCCACCACAGGGTCAAAATCTCCCACCCCCTCCCCTTTATTCCTGGGAAGGGATACTCACATTCAATCCAGATATCTACTTAGAGTTAGAAGGGGAAGGTGGAACTTCCTGCCACTTTTCTTATGTCCAGGAGTGCTTTCCCCTCCGATGATCTGTCTCTTGCTCTAATTTTATTTTGTTTTCATTTGGGGTTTTTTCCTATTTACAACTTTTAGATAAAAAAATTCTAATAAAACTAAAAAAAAAAGGGGGGGAAAGGGGGGGGGAAAGCCCCCCAGCAGAACTCGAGTGCAACAAAACTCTGCCCTTCATCAGTTCCCAGCAAGTGGTAGTCGAAAGCATTGCTGCCTCAGAAAGTGGAGGTACCTTACTGGTGGTTGGGTCTTTGAAGGGGTAAAGGTAAAGGGACCCCTGACCATTAGGTCCAGTCGTAACCGACTGGGGTTGCATGCTCATCTCGCTCTATAGGCCGAGGGAGCCGGCGTTTGTCCGCAGACAGCTTCCGGGTCATGTGGGCAGCATGACTAAGCCACTTCTGGCGAACCAGAGCAGCGCACGGAAACGCCGTTTACCTTCCCGCCAGAATGGTACCTATTTATCTACTTGCACTTTGACGTCCTTTCGAACTGCTAGGTTTGGCAGGAGCAGGGACCGAGCAACAGGAGCTCGCCCCGTCGCGGGGATTCGAACTGCCGACCTGATTGGCAAGTCCTAGGCTCTGTGGTTTAACCCACAGCGCCACCCACATCCCTTTTTTAAAGGGGTAATAATCTGCAAAATAACATGTTCCCACCTCCTGATTATTGCAAAGACAAACTTTCATGGAGAGAGGAATACCAGCATCTCTACCCAAAGCAATTGAGAAGGCAGCGTGTTTTAAGCCTGGCCAGTGTGAAAAGCCTTTTGATGTTTTAACCCCGTGTAAATTCCCAAAATGAACAGCTAACCAAGGAGGATCATCATGAGAAAAGGCTAAGGGGCAAGGTTGTGCAGGGGTTAGCCTACAGGTTTAGGCCTTGGGGGGGGGAATCATACAGTTATTGCTTTATCAAAGCTAATCCAGAGTTGAATCCCAGTTGGAGGGTGACATTCAGATGCAATTGTGAGCCAGTGTGGTGTGGTTAAGAGCGGTAGTCACGTAATCTGGGGAACCGGGTTCGCGTCTCCGCTCCTCCACATGCAGCTGCTGGGTGACCTTGGGCCAGTCACACTTCTTTGAAGTCTCTCAGCCCCACTCACCTCACAGAGTGTTTGTTGTGGGGGAGGAAGGGAAAGGAGATTGTTAGCCGCTTTGAGACTCCTGAAGGGGAGTGAAAGGCGGGATATCAAATCCAAACTCCTCCTCTTCTTCAGTAAGGTAGGTTTGCTGCTGCTGCCTGACCTTGGCAGAGGGAAAGCAAGCCTTGAAAATACTGATGTCCACAAGTCACTTGACGAAGATGAATGGGTTTAGGGATTCTCTGTGCTCTGACCACTCGGACCTCGTCCCAGTCAGCTGAGCAAGTTGCAGTATGCAGAAGTATTTTCAGCAGAGTGAAGGTTAGGGGCTTAATGCAGGCCGAGCCAGAGATCCGCATCCTAAGCTGCTCATCTTGGCAGATCTTGCCATTGGTTTGCCCCCTTATTCAATTAAATTCTGTTGACCTAGTAATGCAAAGGGATGCAGCTGTGCCCTTCTTGTCACATTTTACACCACTCAGGTTAAGTGGTATAAGCCTTATGATTACAGGGCTTTTTATTCACAGTAACTGTAGATACAGGGACGCGGGTGGCGCTGTGGGTAAAACCTCAGTGCCTAGGACAGGGGTCAGCAACTCGCGGCTCCGTATGTGGCTCTTTTACACCTTTGCCGCGTCTCCGGGGCGGATACTAGCCAGGGGAGGAGGCGCATTGTGCGCCCTGACACTCCCCACTGTGGCGGGCACTGTACTGGCTGTGACGTCGCATGGGGGCGGCGTGCGTTAGTCACGCACCGTCCCGACGTCACCTTCCCGACCGACCGCTACATTGTAAGGGGCATGTACGCTGGTCACTGTTTTGAAGGGGAGTGAAGAACACACACACACAAAAAGGTAACTTGTTAATTTAATGTTTATTTCTATGAGGAGGAGTAATTCTGAGGGGTCAAACAAAGAAATAATTAAAAAAGTGACAAAAAAGTTATTTTTATAATGACGAGTTTTGCGGCTCCCAGTTTTTTTCTCTTCGGAAACGGGTCCAAGTGGCTCTTTTTGTCTTAAAGGTTGCAGACCCCTGGCCTAGGACTTGCCGATCATATGGACGGTGGTTCGAATCCCCACGGCGGGGTGAGCTCCCGTCTTTCGGTCCCAGCTCCTGCCCACCTAGCAGTTCGAAAGCACTCTTAAGTGCAAGTAGATAAATAGGTACCGCTTTATAGCGGGAAGGTAAACGGCGTTTCCGTGTGCTGCGCTGGCTCGCCAGATGCAGCTTTGTCACGCTGGCCACGTGACCCGGAAGTGTCTCTGGACAGCGCTGGCCCCCGGCCTCTTAAGTGAGATGGGCGCACAACCCTAGAGTCTGTCAAGACTGGCCCGTACGGGCAGGGGTACCTTTACCTTTAACTGTAGATACAGTTTTCTGGATAAGAGTGTCAGGGTTGGAATAGCTGCGGCTTTTTGATATATTCCCCTCAATGCCGGCTCATGCTTTGAGATCAGTGGGGAGGTCCTCTTTGTAGTGCCACTGATGGGCGTAGTTCATGCAAAGTAGGGCTTTCTTGGTGGTGGTGCCCCACTGGGGAAGTTTGGTTGGACTCCCCCATTGACCAGGTTCCGTCGTTGATCGAAGATGCACTTGTTTGCCCTGGGACATAACTGGAAATAAGGAATTCTTTAAAGTTCCAATATTATTGTCTGCTGCATTCGGATTTTTTGTTTTTGGCATTTTAATTATTGG